AGAGTTGTTCCTTCCTACATTCCAGCAAAGGGCCTTGAACTATTTCCTTAAGATATAAGCCCTAGGCTTTTTTCCTTTCAACTGTGTTCAAGCTATAGTTCTGACCATTCAAGTTTGGAAAAAAAATAAGAATTAAATTTTTCTTTGCTGGTTTTAGTTACAAATATTGGAACCAATGAACATTTAAACCTTGCTTCTTTCTTGGAAGATTTTTCAGAGTTTTAAAATGCCTCCCAGGAATGATGACTAAAGGTAATGTGGGAGCCTGGGACAAAAAGAGCGGACAATAGGTAAAAGCTAAGGACATCTGAATAATGTTTGGACTTTATTTTATAATAATAATGTGTCAGTACTGGTTTATTAATTGTGACAAATGTACCACACTAATGTAAGATGTTAACTCTATATGAGAACTCTCTATACTATCTTCACAATTTTTCTGTAAACCTAAAACTATTGCAAAATAAGAATTTTATTTAAAAAGAGTGAGTCCTGATCTCACTGATGACTCTTTAAAGATTAGTTTTGTGACAGCAGTAGAGCTCCAGTAGATAATCTGGCATCACGATTTGGGCTAAACTGAGTGCCCATGAAATAGTGTCTAGGCACAACTCCAAATGAATTCTTGAGACCTCCTGGCCACAGAGAAGATTCTTTTTTTTTTTTTTTTTTAATGACCCAGAGACCAGGCATTTCAGAGATGCAAATTTGAAGTAATCCTTTTATGGGAAATGGATCAAAACTGGGAAAGGAGAGGCACCAAGGCATGTTGCTGGGATAAGCCTTGAGGAGAAAGAGAGAGAGAGAGAGAGAGAGAGAGTATGTGTGATATCTCACTGGGTTTTTTATTTCTCTCTTTCTCCTTCCTTCCTTCCTTCCTTCCTTCCTTCCTTCCTTCCTTCCTCCCTCCCTTTCTTTCTTTCTTTCTTTTTTTCTTTCTTTCTTTCCTTTCTTTCTCTTCTCTTTCTCCCCTCCCTCCCTCCCTCCTTCCTTCCTCTTTCTTTCTTTCTTTTTCTTTCTTTCCCTTCCTTTTTCTTTCTTCTCTCTTTCTCTCCTTTTTTGAGACAAGGTCTTGCTCTGTCACCCAGGCTAAAGTGCAGTAGTTCACTCATCTTGAACTACTGGGCTCAAGCAATCCTCCCACCTCAGCCTCCTGAGTAGCTAGGACTATAGGTGCGTACCACTGGCTAATGTTTTAAATTTTTGTGGAGACGTGGTCTCACTGTAGTCCTAGGCTGATCTACAACTTCTGGCCTCAAGAGATCTTCCTACCTCCCAAAGTGTGGGGACGACAGGTGTGAGCCACCACGCGTGGCCCCATTGTGTTTTCTTATTCTCCAGTCTGGGCCCCATTCCCCTCATCTGCTTATGCTTCCCTCTGTTGTGTGGGGATTATTTCTGTTTTGTATCCACTGAGAAACCATCTTTATCTCTTACACTGTCTTCCAATCTCTCCTCTTTCATGACATTTTATTAGGTTGGGGGAATACGTGACAATTCTTATTTGACTCAAACCTATTTTTCTTAGAATGCTGTATCAGTCTATTACAAAATAAATTTTAAAAAGAGATTTTGTAAGCCAATCTGTTATCACACAGACCCTAATACCTAGTTGTGTTAGATTTTTAAGCCACTTCAAAAAACCAGACTTTTGCTGGGATCATTCTATTGCAACCATTCTCATCAAGTTCCCACTGAATCCCACCACCTCCCGCCACCCCGTACAAAATCCAGTGATTAGCTTCCTGGTCTCATTTTGTTTGACTTCCCACCAGCATCTGACTTGGCTGCCTCCTCCCTTCCTTTTGAGTGAATAGCTTTCTGTTCTTCCATGACATCATGTTCTCCTGGTTTTCTGGCTACTTCAAAGGCCACTCCCTCTCAGTCTTTTGGCTGGCATTGATCTTCTTACCTGTCATTATTGCATGTCCCCAGCTCAGTGCATGGCTGTCTTCTGTATGTGCGTCCACTCTCTTGGTGCCTGCCTGTTGTTGTGTGAAGTTAAATACCACCTAGATGCTGACGGGGAGCTGAGATATGTCTCTAGCTCCTGCCCGCGTCATGCTCACATGCCTCATATTGTGTCTGATAGCTCTTTCTCAATGTCTAGCAGACATCTCCAACTTAACATGTCACATACACAGCTCCTGATTTCCAAGAAAGTTCAGACTTCTATGAGAAATATTATGGCATCAATAATTCACTGTTCTTCAGCCCTGTGCTCCCACGGCTAAGCTAGCTAAATATAGCAAATGGTCACCGATAAAGTGGCAGCATACTTGAAAATAAAAAATGTGAGACGTGTATGTTGCATGTTGAAAACTGAATGAAATCAGGAACGATCTATATTTTTATTCACTAATAGTATGATTTAATGAGTGCTTCCTTTGTGCCAGGCACTGCTAAGTGTTTCACATGTTTTCTGTTGTTTAAAATCCTTTCTGTAATCCTTCAGGTAGATATTATGGCCCCATTCTTTTTGAGACACAGCCTTTCTCTGTCATCCAGGCTGGCACTACCTCAGCTCACTGCAACCTCCACATCCCATGTTCAAGCGATTCTCCTGCCTCAACCCCCCAAGTAGCTGGGATTATAGGTGGTACACCACCACGCTCAGCTAATTTTTGTATTTTTAGTAGAGACCAGGTTTTGCCATGTTGGCCACGCTGGTCTTGAACTCCTGACCTCAAGTGATCCACCCACCTCAGCCTCTCAAAGTGCTGGGGTTACAAGCATGAGCCACCACATATGGTCTCATTTTCATATCAGGAAATGAAGACACAGGGAGGTTAAATAACTTGTCCAGGGTCACAGAACCAGTTAATAATGGCTAAAATTTGAACCCAGACAGCTAACTATACTCTGAAGAGTCATGGTAGAAATTACAGTGCTATTTCCTACCCCAGGGTCTTGGGCCTAATCAAGTGAAAGTCCATGCATCGTATTCTATACTAGATGCTGTGGCCTTTAACCTAAATTTGTATAGAACCCTCACACTAAATGCTATGATTCGAATGTGTTCCCTAAAGTTCATGCGTTGGAACTGAATCCCCAGTGCAACAGTGTCGAGAGGTGGGAGCTTTAAGAGGTAACTTTAAGAGGGCGGTGCCCTCATGATGGATTAATGCTGTTATTGAGGAGTGGGTTGGTCATCATGGGAGTAGGTTTCAAATAAAAGGATGAGTTTGACCTCCTTCTTCTCTGTCTGTCTGTCTATCTGTCTCTCTCTCTTATGTGCGTGTACATGCTCTCTTGCCTTTTCACCTTCCACCATGGGGTGAAACAGCAAGAAGGTCCTTGCTGGATGCAGGCTCCTTGACCTTGGAATTCCCAGTCTCCAGAACCATAAGAAATAAATCTCTGTTCTTAAGTTCATAATCAGAATAGAGCACAATATGAGCAGAGTGCTGCTTCTGCTAACAGAGGTATGGAATGTGGGACAAAGAATTCTCAGAAGTCCTGACAAAGGAGTCCTAACTAAAATATACGGCAACTGTACCTTTCTACTTGACACAGGTCCTTGAGAGAGTGAATCAGGCAATGAATGCAAATCCTTTGAGTTTTACTTTGAGTGGCTTGGTAGACACCCAGTTAACTGCATCACTGGGGTTCACGCCTGCAGCTTTGCACAGCTGCCCCATGGTCCCACGCCCACAGAACCGTGAGGTCTGCCTGTTCTTCCCACTGAGGCTTAGTGACCTGCTAGCTCCCACAGACACAGACACAAGCCACTGGGCACTGAATTTTAAAAGCTGGTAATGTAGGAGCTGTAGGCAGTGAAAACTATTAGTGTGGAAAAGAAAGCTGAGAAATCCAAGTCAGCTCTTGAGAAGCGCCCATTTCCATAAATACTTTATTGAAAGTGTTATTTTCAGAAAATGCCAATTTCTGTCAGAAAAAAGTAATGAAAAGTCTTTTTTTTTCTTCCAAACATAGTGCATTATTTAGGCTAAAAAAAAAAAAAAAAAAAAAAATAAAAAAAAAAAAAAAAAAAAAAATATAATAAAAAAAAAAAAAAAAAAAAAAAAAAAGCAAAAAGCTTCTCAGGGATGGCTCTTTTCAGTAAAAAAATTTTCAAGCAAATGAGGTCTTTTTTTTTTGGTATTTTAGATGGGTTTTTAAAATAAATAGCATGCACAATGTTTTTGAAATATTTCCTGTCCTCAGCATACACCAACATACTTTTGCTAAAAACTTTCCAAAAATATGCTTATTAAACAAAGACATATATGCAGGACGCGTATGGTCTATGAATTTTGAATTAAAGCACTCCCCTCCTCATCTTGCCTGTTGCTACATTATTTATCATGCTTTTTCACTTTTGAATAAAAGACCAATTTTTTAAAAATGAGAACTATCCAATCCAAATGTTCATGATCATCCAAACTTACTTTCTTCTCTTTCTTTGTTTTCTAACCAGCAAGCTCTGTAAAGCCTGGTGTGTAAATAGGCAGTAAATACAATACTAGTAAAAGATAAAGCAGGGCGAAGAAACAATATCAGCCGATGCTTTGGGAGTTCCCACTTTTCTTTGTTTGTGATCACAATAAGGAAAAGAGCTACGTACCATGTCTCTTTTCCTTAATTGTTATTTACCACTGAAGACTAACAGAAAAGTCTAGTCAGGTATTTAAAAATAGAGACAAGATTTCTAGGAAATATCTGTTGGATTAGCCTTAAGCGAGTTTGTCTTTTTAGGGTTTAAATGAGAAGACCATTTTATTCTTTGCTTAATGCACTGAAAATCTTTCTTTTTAAAGCAGGATCTCAGTAAAGAGGAATCCATATGCCTGGAAGCCTAAAAAGTGTTTCATAGTGGAAGCCACTCATACATATATGTTACGGGTTCAGGAAATGCAAATGCAACAAGAAGGTGACCCTGCCAATGGCTCTTCCAAACGTCACAGTTCCTACCATGCAGCAGAAATTCTGAAGCTCTTAAAAACGGTCTGTCAGACTAGACATGCTTTTTAAAAAAGAAGAACAGAGAAAGTACTTACATCTCAGAGTTCCACCGTGAGGCCTCGCTTCTCCACTCCACAGACCTCTGCCTGGCCGCGGATCCTTCACCCTGGCTTGACAGCTGGGTTAATCTGCAAGCCAGGGTGGAATGCGTGGTCTTCCACGTGCTGTTCTTTTCCGTCTTCAGAGGGCCAGCGGCCTGGTCATTTCCATGGCAACCAGGAGGAAGCGGCTGGCCTACCAGTCTCATTAGCTGCACACAGGAGAGAAACTGACTTGGTGACTGCTGGCCACTCTTTTGGGGTTCTAAACTGGGAATTTTCTAGAAGAGACTGAGGACACTGTTTCTGTAGGCTGATCACAAAGGATTGACACACATGGAAGAAATTCTACCTTAGCAGGAGATTGTATGTAGAGCATGGGGACTCCTTGTTACTTTTACTTTCATTGTTGATTCCACCTTTTTTGGCCTGATGAATTGTTACTTACGGTAAATGCCTGCACTAGTGTAAAAAGTGTCCTCTTGTGGTTGTTCCAAAGAAAAAATGAACTCATTTCAACTCCAAAGATAGACATTATTCTCTCTCTCTCTTTTTAAGTTCATTTAAAAAATGTTAGAAGCCACAAAACCAATAAATATGTAAAAAATATTTTATATACATTAACTGATGTCTTAGTCCATTTGGGCTGTTACAACAAAATGCCATTATTGGGTGACTTACAAACAACACATTTGTTTCTCACAGCTCTGGAGGTTGAGAAGTCCAAGATCAAGGCACTGGCAGATTTGCTTTCTGGTGAGGGCCTGCTTCCTGGTTCACAGGTGGCACCTTCTAACTGAACCCTCACATGGTGGAAGGGAGACAACTGTGGTTTCTTCGGCTTCTTACAAGGGCACTAATCCCATTCATAAGGGCTCCACCCTCATGACCTAATCACATTTTAACATCTCCACCTCCTATGCTATCACACTGAGGATTAGGTTTCTGTATTTGTATTTTAAGGGAAGGTAAATACCTGGGCCTTAACAACTGATGAGGTCTCATTAAATATGGGAGAAAAAGATAAAGCAGGGGTCCCCGACCTCCAGACCAGGCACTGGTACCAGTCCATGCTACAGCAGGAGGTGAGCAGTGGGTGAGCAAGAGAAGCTTCATCTGTATTTACAGCTGCTCCCTATCACCCTCATTACCGCCTGAGCTCCACCTCCTGCCAGATTAGCAGTGGCATTCAATTCTTATGGGGGCACATTGAGAACGGTATTCTATGGTGAACTACTGTGAACTGTGCATGCAAGAGATCTAAGTTGCATGCTCCTTATGAGAATCTAATGCCTGATGATCTGTCACTGTCTCCCATCACTCCCAGAGGGGACTGTCTAGTTGCAAGAAAACAAGTTCATTCTACATTAGGGTGAGTGGTATAAGTATTTCATTATCTCTTACAATGCAATATAATAAAAATAAAGCGCACAATAAATGTAATGCATTTGAATCATCCCAAAACCGTCTCCTACTCCTGCCTGTCTGTGGAAAAATTATCTTCCATGAAACTGGTTTCTGGTTCCAAGAAGGTTGGGAACTGCTGAGATGAAGGAAAATCTTGCTAATTAAAAGCACTGGGAGACTGGAGCAAGTGATTTGTAATTACCCAGATATAAATTCTTCAATAGGTTAAAGAAGAGAGCACCTCAGTAGGAAAATTCATTCATTCATTTATTATTCATGTAGTGAATCCTTACCACATACATGCACTGTGCCAGGAGATATAGGGGCACAGAGATCAATGCCGTGGTTCTTGTCTTTAAGGAAGTTATACTATAGGAGGGGTTGAATTTATTATATAAGTTGCATGTGGGAAATGTTTGAAGGGAGGTGCAGACACAATGCAGGGAAGTCTCAGTGAAGGTCGGGCTTTTCCAGGGAGATTGGTGAAGTCCTTGTGGAGAGGTAGTTTTGGATCTGGGCCTTAAAGGATGGCTGTGATCTGGGTGGTCAGATGTGGGAAAGGACAATGATCTCTCATGGAGTGATTCTTTGATCAATTGCAGATGCAAGCTGATGGATAAATTCTTCCTCCTTTCTGAGCCAAAGCAGTTGGACACACATGTCCCACAGGATAAAGAAACCCAAGTAATTAAGAAAATTGCTGGAGCAAAGGTTTGGAGGTGGAGGAGTCCCAGGCTTGTGAGCCATTTGGAAGCCAGTGAATCACAGCCAGGATAAAGGGAATTGAGAATAGAGAGAGGCTGCTATTGTTGGGTGATCAGTTTCAGCAAAGCACATGTAGAAATTCTATCATGTGAGAATAGCAAAGTGGATCTTGGTTCAGACCTTGAGTCTTACCTTCTTGCACATTGTTTAAACTTTATGAGCCTCAATTTCCTTATCTATAAGGTGGGGATAATAATACTTTGTTGAAAGGTGGAGCTGAGGAAAAAACGAGGTAATATATGTGGACTGGATGCCTGAAGATGAGGGAAGGAAAGGCTGGCCAACGATACACTGGGTGCCCCAACTTTCTGGAGCAACTGTGGCTTATCCAATAGTTTGACATACTCAACCTCTGTTTCAACATGTTTCTCTCTTGCCTGCCTCTAGTGCAGAGACTGGAAAGTTCTGTCATTCAACACACCAGAGTCTCTTGAAGCTGAGATTTCGGATGTGATTTAAGCTTTATTATTTACACTTGATTCAGAGTGAAGTCACATGGAGAGATGACCCTGACACTTTGTTTGGGAATTGAGTTAGGTGAGGAGAGAGAGGAGAGTACTGGGAATCTCTTGCTGGACAGGGTCTCAGCAGACGTGGCATGGTCTGCTGTGGGGGTGGCCTTCTGACAAGTCGTTGACTGGCTGTGGCTGATGTGGCATGGTTCAGGAGCTGAGGACTGTGGCACTAACTTCCTGTTGGAGAATATAGCCTCCTAATTCAGCAACTTCCTGATTGTAGAAGAGGCAGTAGCTCCCGTGATGGCCCAATTCTATGGTGACTTTCAGAGTTCAGCTTAGAATCCATTTCTTCAGTCCTTCCAATGACTCAAGGAACTATCTGTATATCTTAAGAAAGTCCTGGTTGGTTAAACCAGCTAATGTAGACTCTGTTGCCTATAACCAAGAACCCTGAATTATATACTACTGCCTTAATTCTGGCCTATACAAGGTGACATAGTTTGGATCTGTGTCCCTGCCCAAATCTCATGTTGAAGTGTAATCCCCAATGTTGGAGGTGGGGCCTGGCGGGAGGTGATTGAATCACACCGGTGGATTTCTCATGATGATGCTGTCTTTGATGCTGTCTCTATGATAGTGAGTTCTTGCAAGATCTGGTTGTTTAAAAGTGTGTGGCACTTCCCCACACCTACTCCTGCTTTTCCCATGGGTCACGCCTGCTCCCCATTCACCTACTCCATGATTGTAAGTTTCCTGAGGCCTCTTCAGAAGCCAAGCAGATGCTGCTGTGCTTCCTGTATGGCTCACAGAATCATGAGACAATTAAACTTCTTTTCTTTAGAAATTACCCGGTCTCAGGTATTTCTTTATCACAAGGCGAGAATGGCCTAAAACACAAGGTAAGCAGGAGTTTACAGGTATTGTTTTCTACTCCTTTATTTTAACGACTAACTGAGATAAACAGCACAAGGTGTTTAGTGTGAACTGAGCACAAAGAAGGCAGTCAGTAATGGTAGCTATTATATTGATTACCCTTTGTCACTTTCTCTATTTATGACCCGATGCCTTCCAGGACCTCTTGCTTAGTGGGATTCCTGGCCGAAGGCAAATAGTGTGAAGAGCCAGGTACTTCCCTGGAAACTTAAAGGCCAAACACGCAGCTGTTGATGGAATGTGGCTGGGTCTCTGTGTATGGCGTGTTAAACATTTACCCCAGGTTTTATATCTCCCTGTCTTTTTAAAGCATTTACTTCCACTGGCTCTTTGTGTTAACTGTGTCACATAGATTAAGTTGATTTAGCAGCAATGAGTGTTGGGAAGGTTAATAAAACCACACCTCAGACTGCCGGTTTTGTTCAGCTGTGGAGCCAATGGGTGGTGGACAAGTGTTTGTTTATGATGCGATTGAATTCTAGCTTTGTCCTTGACCAATTGTGTTTTCTTTCTTCCTTTTATTTTTGTCATAAAAACAATGCAGGTTTCTGATAGCACATTCAGATAATGTCCAGTGTATTAAGGTGAAAATCTACACCCCCCTTGAAACTGATCTTGCAGAAATAACATCTGGTGAAGTCTGCCGTGAAGCAAATCTTGCTTTGTTTTCAAACTTTGCAAGTGCTTTCACTGTTCATTAACATGTGTTCTTTAAAATCTTTTACCTTGAGCTTGGCGTGGTAGCTCACGTCTGTAATTCCAGCACTTTGGGAGGCTGAGGTGGGAGGAGAAATTGAAGGTAGGAGTTTGAGACCAGCCTGGGTAACATAGTGAGACACTGTTTCTGCAAAAAATAAAAAATTAGCCAGGTGTAGAGGTGCCCACCTATAGTCCCAGCTACTCAGGAGGCTGAGGCGAGAGGATCTCTTGAGCCCAGGAGGTCGAGGCTGCAGTGAGCTGAGACTGCGCTGCGCACTCCAGCCTGGGTGACAGAGTAAGACCCTGTCTCTGAAAAAGGGAAAAAATCTTTTACTACAAGCCCTCAGATTCCACTATTTCTGACCCCCTCTCTTCATGCATTCTCATCTGGACTCTCTACCATCCCCTCGTGAACTGCCTCCAAATCACTATCAGCATCTTCTACTACTGTTTCTTCCATCCTGGGCAGCTTCAGGAGTCATCTCAGGGTCTCTCCGTCCTTCCCAACTTCCCTTCCCCTTCCTTCTTTGGCAACTTCAACATCTGTATTCTCAGCTGGTTGCAGGATATCAGCGCTCATGTCCTCACCTCATGGCCTTGCTGCGCCCCAGACCTTGCACAGGGCTCTGCATGTGTTCCTTCTCCCTGCTCCATCCTCACAGCGCCTCTGGCTTTACCTCTTCCATCCACCCTCAGCTCCCTGCCCTGCTGCATCCTCACCCCTACTGGGGTGGCCCCTACCTATGACCTTTGCCCTCCTCTCCATGCCAGTCCACTCAGGGTCCTCCCATTGTCGGCTTTCTCAGCATCCCCTCTAGGGTGCAGGTACTCTTGGAGAAAATGCAGAGAGCTAAGAATTCCTAATGCTCAGCTTCCTGAGAGCCTGGATGTGAATCTGCAAGTCTTCCCTGCATTTCTGGCCAAGTGGCTGTGTTACTTCTCCATTCATATCAGATACTCACTCCTGTCACATCATCCCCAGTTTCGTGAGAAAGCCTGGTATCTGAGAGGAGCCAGGAACCAGACCCATCCTGCTCACACTCAT